GGGGTGGTGGGGGTCAGGGTGTGGCCTCGGGGGAGCAGCTGGGAGGAAGGGGAGGACTCAGACCCAAGGACGCCCGGGCCAGCAGTTCCTGGGAGCGCCAGGGATTCACCCTGAGTGTGAGGCTGGGGCTCCCGGGTTCCCGGCACCCGGAGGACAGGGCCCTGCTGGGCCAGTGAGGAAGCTGGGGAGGCAGTGAGCAGTGGCCGGGCCCCAAGCCCGTCCTTGGGGTGGCAGAAGCAGAACCTACATGTGCCACATGGCTGTGACCACGGATGCAGCAGGAGGCAGAGACCACGCTGGCCCCGCTCCGTTCCCGGCCGCCCACTGGCTCCTCCCTGGTCCCCACTGTGAAGGCCAGCTCCAGGCCAGCTGTGTCTCCCACGGCGGCAGCTACTGTCCTGCCCAGGGCACAGGAGGGCAGCGGCCGGGCCTGAGGGGCTGCTCTCCATGGTCAGTCGGTCAAGTCTCGCCCAGGCGGCGGGGTGGGGCACTGTGACCTCACTGCACTCCTGCTGCAATTCGGGCAGGAGTTGGCCCAGAGGGGTCAGGGGACCCAGGGCCCAGCCAGGCCCCTCCGCCAAGCCCTTCCCACCCTGGGTCCCGTCTGGGCTCTGGGCGGTGCTGCTCCTCCCACACACTCTGGTGCTGAGGTTCCTGTCTGCACACAGCACTTAGAAGTCAGTTCCTCACCCACTGCCAGAGGCAGCGCGCAGGGCCACTGCTACTCTGGTCCCAATGAGAAAACATTGCAAAGAACTTAGGTGACTTGTGAGGTCTTGTCACGGGGAGGCAGAGTGGAGACGCATCCGAGGAGCCAAACACAGGGAGCAGAACTGTGTCTCAGTCCTGTGCTAGAGGAACTGATGCATACAGTTGTGTAGGTCGAGCACTGTACAACTCCAAGGAAAGTGGACCATTTTCTTTGTTAAGAGAGCGACTAGAATTGTACAACCTCTGCAGCCATCCGGGGTCACTCTGGGGAGTGTCTTGCTCATTCACGGTCCCGCTGTGGGCCTTGGTTTCCCCATCTGTTCCACGGCAGTTCTGACTGTCAGCAGGCAGCACCTGGACCTCAGGGCCAGAGACCTGTCTTCCCTCCACCCTGGATGTGTCCCCTCCCTCTTCTGGGGGGCGCCCTGGACACCTAGCTTCATTGCTTTGTGTCTAGTTCTCCCAACCCAACCGCCAGGGCCTTTGGACTCCACTAGAGTTTGTTTTGGAAAAAAATACGAAGCATAACAGCCGCAGCTGACTGTTGGCTTCAGACCCTTGGTGGAGGCCTGGGGGAGGGGTTCCCGAAACCCCAAATCGACAGCGTCTGCTTCTCAGCCCTGGCCGCCCTGACTCACCCTGACTCATCCCCTGGTGCCGACTGAAGGGCCGGGCCGGGCCGCGGGGTCCTCAGCCTCCCCGTCCCCGGCCTGGGCCACAGCCAGGCCTGCTGACCTGGGAAGGACACGGGTCTCCCAGCCCGTTTGCCTGGCTGTAAAATGGACCGCTGCCACTGTGTGGAGTTTTAATAGGCCAGACCCACTTCCTGGTGCGTGGCCTGTGGCCCTACAGTGTGCTGGGCCCAGGGCCCAGGCCGACCCTGTCCCCGGGGAGCTGTGGCTGGCCTGAGCCGGCCCAGGCCCCTGCTCTGTGGCATCTGTGGCCCTGCCGTGGCCCCTGCAGCTCACTCTTCCCAGCCCTGTCTGCACGTGACCAACTGTGGCACACAGAGCCCAGAGGTCCCGCCCTGCCCTGGGCCCCAGCCCCGAGCCAGCACCTGGCCCACTTCTATGTCCCATCAGATGTTTTCCAGAGCTCATCGAGTGCGGGGCCAAGGGTTTTGACCCCCTGAACTCCAACTCAGCAGATGGCCCAGGGTGGCTGTGGGCTGCAGGTCCCCGGGGCCAGCCAGGTGGGCAGAGATGTTCCCTTTACCTGCTCAGTGTGGCCGGAGGGACCTTTTCCTCCGTCTTCTGTGGCAGTGGCCCTGGCCCAGGCCACACTCGGCCCCGTGTCGCCCAGGCCTGGCCGGCACCCTGCGCCCCCTCACACTCCTCTCTCCCCGCCGAACACGCTGTCTTCCTCCGGTGCTCACTGGCCCTTCCCTCTCACAGTGGCCCTGCGTGTCCAGGCTGGCACGTGGAAGGCAATCCCGGGCGCCACACGGGAAGGCGGTGCCTCACCCTGGCATCTCGGTGGCTATAGCGATGTGACGGAGGACACCCTTGGGGATGGTGGTGCTAGCCGTGGGGCTGAACACCGTCCCTGCAGAGTCTGGGGCAGAGCAGGGCCGAGGTCCCATCCTCTAGGCCCTGGGTGGTGTGGACATCTTGGGGGACAGAGCCCCACGGGGCAGCCTGGGGGCTTCCTCCTCCTGCTGGGGCCTGGGCAGGGGCTTAAACCCCAGGGCTTTGAGGCGGGAGACAGGACAGGATTGTCCCTGATGCAGTGCGGGGCACAGCACCTGCCCTGCAGAGTTTGGGGAGCCAGGGAAGTTGGAGCACAGAGCCCTGAGCGTGGAGTGGCCGCCCCTGTGGCCTCCAACCTCTGACTTGGTGCCGGGGTTCCTCCGTCAGTGTGGCCCCATTGTGGGGTTGCCAGCCCAGACCTTCCCACTGCTGTGTATCAGGGCTGGGGGCTGGGCCGAGGCTGGGCAGACAGATGTGGGGGCCCGTTCATGCCCAGCTTAGCCAGCCCGGGGTCTGCACAGTCAGTGGCTGGGAAGGGGGAATCGGGATTTGTGGGCCCTGTCAGTCTCCACATCCACCCCGGGCCTGCACATCCGTGGTGTGGCCCAGGGCTCCAGTCCTGGCCTCCCTGAGCCCCAGCATAGTGCTGATGAGGGCTTGAGACCATCTGCCCCGGAGAGGAGCCCCCTTCCTGCAAGTTCAGGTCCCAGGGCTCAGTCCCTCATGCGCCTGGTTCTTCCGGCCAGCGCAGGTCTCCGCCAGCTGAGCAGCCCACGGTACAAGTTCAACTTCATCGCTGACGTGGTGGAGAAGATTGCGCCTGCCGTGGTCCACATTGAGCTCTTCCTGAGGTACGTGGGGCCCCTGCCTCTCCCCCAGGCCCCCCACGGCTGGTCGGGTGGTTTGGTGTCCGTCCACGTCCCAAGACCCGGGTCTGCGCCTCGCCGGTCCCTTCCCACGGTGACTGAGCCCCATGGCGCATGCAGGAAGTGTGCGCTGCACCCAGGCCTGGGTGTGGACAGAGGCGCCAGGCTGGAGCCGCTTGGCCTGATTGGGATCTGGAGCCCGGCTGCCTGGCTCCTTCGCTTGAGCGAGAGCTGGGGGCATCCTCTCCGTAGGTGTCACTGCCCCTGCCACCGCCCACCCAGGGGCCCCTCCAGCACCTGCTGCAGCCCGAGGGTGCCCCCCCCAAGGAAGGAGCCGGGCTCCCCAGACTCAGCCCCGGCTGGGGTGCTGTGGCTCCCACTTCCGGGAGGGGGAAGCCGAGGTCTGAGGACACCCAGGCCCCTGGGGCGAGCACACCCTGCACCAGAGCCACCCTCCCTACCCTTCCCTCAGGGCCTGGCTTCCCGAGATATGGCACCGAGGAAATTACAGCTGGCTGTACCGGGTGGCACGGCGCCAGCTCTCAGGTGGCTGGAGGTCTGGGCACCGGCCTGGAGCCAGCTAATCACGCCGGCCCGGTGGCGCTCACTTCTCAGCCTGAGACAACAGTCAAGGCGGCCCAGCTCTGGGGCCTCTGGCATGGAGGTGGCCATCGGGGTCCCCATGCAGGGCAGCTGAGAGCAGGCACAGGGAAGCCTGGCTGCAGACCCTGCTCGCCCTGTGCTGCCTGCCCCAGACAGTAGTTTGGTGACTCAGGGACCATAGTTGCTCACAGGGCCGTGGGGCCTCCACAGTGGACCACGTGGTCTCCGTCCTGGGCAGTGGGCAGGGCCAGGCCCTTCGGGGGCTTAGAGGCTGGTCTGTTCCAGGCCTCTTGGCTCCTAGGGGCCCCCGGGACTACAGTGCACCTTCCTGCGTCTGTGTCCAGGCCTCCCTAGGGGAGGACACTGGCCCTCGACGTGGGCCCCACTCTAACCTGCAAGGACCCCACCCCAGATTCAACCCCAGGGAGCTTGTGCCTGGTCAGTGGAGCTTGGAGCAGGCTGTGCCCCCTGGGCCCTGCCCATGCTGGTCACTCTGTCCTGTGGTCTTCCTGTCTCCCACAGAGCGGGGGCCCTTTCTCTCCTCTTCTCTGCTCAGCAGCCTCGGGGCCTCGTGCCTGCCCATGCCAGGCCCTGCCCTGGTCTGCGGCTGCCCACCCTAGAGAAGGTTCCAGGTTGCACCCAACCTGTGAACAGGACTGGGGTTCCTGCCCAGAGCCCATTTCCCACATGGGGAGACTGAGGCACTGAGAGTTTAAGTGGCCATCAGCAGGGCGTGGCCCGGAGGCCAGAATCCCAGTGCATCTGGCTGGGTGCCGTGTGGCAGGGCTGTCAGTGCCCACTGTGGTAAGCACTGCTGACTGTGCTCAGTGTGTGTCACTGCAGTGATTGCAGGTCAGGGACAAGGGACACCTGTGTGGCCACGAAGTGGGTCCACAGCTGTATGGTCCACCAAGCACATCTGCCCCTCTCCCCACCATGCCAATGCCCCTTTCCTTGCCCTGAGTGCCACTCTGCCTGCCACCCACCCGCAGACACCCCCTGTTTGGCCGCAACGTGCCCCGGACCAGCGGCTCTGGCTTCATCGTGTCGGAGGCTGGCCTAATCGTCACGAACGCCCACGTGGTATCCAGCACCAATGCCGTCGCGGGCCGGCAGCAGCTCAAGGTGCAGCTGCAGAGCGGAGACTCCTACGAGGCCACCATCCAGGACATCGACAAGAAGGCCGACATTGCCACCATCAGGATCCAGCCCAAGGTGAGTGGCGCCAGGGGCGGCTCCCACCCCGTGCCGGCCTGGAGCCAGGCTGTGGGTCCGGCTCACCTGATTCCCACCCGTCTCCTCCTCAGAAAAAGCTGCCCGTGCTGCTGCTGGGCAACTCGGCGGACCTGCGGCCCGGGGAGTTCGTGGTGGCTATCGGCAGCCCTTTTGCCCTGCAGAACACGGTGACCACAGGCATCGTCAGCAGCGCCCAGCGGGATGGGCGGGAGCTGGGCCTGCGGGACTCGGACATGGACTACATCCAGACGGATGCCATCATCAATGTAAGTCCCTGCCGGGCCGTGCCCCTGACCCCCGGCCCTTTCCTCCCATGCACCCGCTGGCTGGAAAGGTCTCCGCACACAGCAGGCACCCCAGGTCAGGGCTCTGTCACCACCGGAGCCCTCCCGGCCGGTGCGTGGCCTTTGTGTCTGTCGCGGCCACTGTGCCAGAGCCCTCAGGCCCTACGGAGCCAGCTGGCAGCAGGACCCTGCTGTTCTCCGGTCAGGTGCCCCCGGGGCAGAGGCACTGAAGCCTGTGGTTTCGCCACATGGGCCGCAAAGCTTAGGCCTCGTCCCTGGCCTCTGCTCTCCCCACTGTGACGTGGGCTGGGCACTGTGGCTGTCGCACACGGATCCCGGGCGCCCCGTTCCTCACAGAGCCGGGGACCTGCAGAGGGCAGGGCCAGGCTGACACCACTTCCTCTCCTTGCAGTATGGGAACTCCGGGGGACCCCTGGTGAATCTGGTGAGTGTGCCCCGGCCTTGACGGCGGGAATGGGCACCCGTAGAAGCTGTGGGCTGATGGCTGCAGCTGTTGGGGGACTGGTGGGGCTGCCCGGGCACCTCGGGAACAGAGACTCAGGTGAGAGCGGGGCCGCCGGAGCCGTCACCGTGGGGCCCCTGCGGAGATGAGGGGCCCCTCACCCTCCCTGTGCCCCTCCTTGGTCACTGTCCCCAGTTCTGCCCTGGGCCCCTAGGCCAGGCTCCTTCCCAGAGCAGGAGAGTTTCCCAGAACAAAGCAGGGAGTTTAGCTCGAGCTCCAGGCCTCGAGGCCCCAGGTGGAGTCCTGGCCTTGGGGGATTCCCCCGAGGGGAAGGTGGCTGGCTGGACCCCGCCAGGACCACGTGAGCAGCATGAGACAGCTCTGGAGGCTGCCGTGGCAGTGGGGGCTTCCCAGAGCAGAGGAGGGTGGGGAGCAGGGGCTGCCCCGGGAGGTCCCCGAGGCTCAGCAGCCCCCTCACTGCAGAGGCCAGGCTGGGGGTCTGGGGTCCCCGGTGCGGGGTGAGGCCCTGTGTTACCCCAGGAGCCAGGACAAGGGGCTGCCACACATCCAGGGGAGCAGGCCCAGGACCTGCGGCCCTCCCACCTCAGAGATGGGGTGGGGGCACACAGGCGCCTGTCCAAGGCTGCCCCCAGGCCATGGAGACCCTGCTGTGGCCAGGGCACAAGTCGGGGGTGCGCACCAGGCTGGGGATGGGCTCTTTTCTGAGCCCCGTGCAGGACCGTGACTGGGGCCTGGGGTGGGGCAGGACCATAAGCTTTCTCCAGGGCCAGAGTGGGGAGTCCCTAGGGTTTGGGGTAACGGCAGGAGGGAGCTCGCGCGCGCTGAGACCCTGAGAGCGCTCCTTTCAGGACAGCTGAGGCTGCCGAGGTAAGGCAGGGGTGCCCACAGCAGTGTGGGCATGGGACACCGTGCCCTGTGGGCCCCTGTGACCGGGCTCCCCATCGTCTGCCCAGGACGGCGAGGTCATCGGCATCAACACCCTCAAGGTCACCGCCGGCATCTCCTTCGCCATCCCCTCAGACCGCATCACGCGCTTCCTGTCTGAGTTCCAGGATAAGCACAGCAAAGGTACGGGCTCGCCTAGAGCAGGCAAGGTAGCCGGGGCTGGAACAGGCCCCTCTACCCTCCAGGCTCACCCCGGGCGCCACACTCACCTGCTGTCCTCACGGCGTCCAATCGCGGCTCCTGCCGCCCGTCTGGCCTGTCCCTTGGTAGTCAGCACCGGGTGCTCCCTTCCTGCCCCCAACCATCACCCACCTGCTTATCTGCCTGTCTGTCCACCTGTCCGTCTGTCCATCCACCCACCCGTGTCCCTTCCCTTTCCTCTGTGCCTTCCTCCATCTTTCCATTCGCCCCAGCACCCTTCTCTCAGCCTGTGGCCCATGCCAGGATGCCAGCCAGTCTGGGCGGCGTCTGCTACTCCCAGGGAGCAGAGCCCAGCACCCTGACCCTCACAGGTCCCTGTGAGCTGTGGCTGTGTCCGCTCACCCGGTCCACACAGGGCGCCCAGGCCACCCTGCCACCCCCGAGACCCTAGTACCCTTGCCAGCTCTCGAGGGTCCGCCTGTCCCAGCCAGTGCGGAACACCTGTGACCCCAGCCTCCTCCTGGCAGCCCCCACCTGCCCGTTCAGCCTGGAAGTCCCCTCCTGCCATCCACTGGGCCGGGCTGGCCAGCCCTGCCCACCCACACCCTCACACACGCGTGTCTCCTCCAGCCCCCTCACCGGCACTGCACTGACACAGGGCTTCCTCATGCCCACCCCTCCACGACCCCACCGCCAAACACGTGGAGCCCAGGGCAGCCAGCAGCGGCACGAGGACTGGCAGCAGGAAGAGCTGCCCCGAGGACCCTGAACCCCAGTAAAGCCAGTCCTTCCTGAGAAGCCGACAGCGCCTCCTGTTGGACAGCGGGGCCATCTGACCTCAAGCCCTTTTCCTCTTGGCTGCTAGGAAGCGCCTTACTAGACCCAGGCTGCATCTTGCTTCCCTTCTCTAAGGATTGAGCCTTTGCCTCAGCCCTCTAGCACTGGAACTCACTGGGGCTCTCAGGCTGGGGTGACCTTGGCATAGAAATGGGGTGCTGGCCTCCTTGCCCGCCTGCTCGTTTCTCTCAGACAAGAGCCCTGTGGTCTGGGTTTGTTCCATGTTGTTGAGGGACTGCCCCTGTCCCTGTGACCTCATCCTGGCCCTGGGGCCACTCCCTGTCAGGGCTGTGTGGTTCCCAGGGGCACAGCTGGGAATCTCAGGTCTTAGCCAATAACAGATCAACACATTTAAAATCCTCCTGAAGCTGGGGTTTGGTTTTGCTTTTCTTCTTCCTTTTTTTTAATAAAAATATCAAATGATCCAAACCCAGTTAATCTAAAATTCTTCAAAACAACAATTTTATGGAACCAAGGAGATGCAAAGGGCACTTCTTGTGCATTTGCAAAAGATTTATTTCCTATCATCTGTCTTTTATTTTGCTCTTTATTTATAACTTGAGTTTCTTTTTTGTTTTCTGAAACAGGGATCAAACTTGGGACCTTGCACTTGCGAGGCAGGCAGTGGTACCACTGAGCTAAATCCCTGGCCCCTATAACTTGAGTTTCTTGTATAAGAGAAACCATGGGACATTTAAGCTTGAGGGTCTGATTTATTTCATATAACGTTATGGTCTCCAGGTCCATCTCTTTTCCCACAAATGACTGAAGCCCGTCCTTCTTCAGGGCACAGTAGTACTCCATCGATGCCACGCTTTCTTCTCCGTCCACCTGTGGAAGGACCCAAAGGCCACTTCCAAGCTTTAGCTCCTGTGAGCTGCGCTGTGGCAAACATGGGTGTTGGGATGCTCTTGGGCATCTCTTGTTCCCTTCATGGGCTCCACGCCCACGCCCAGGCCAGCCTCTCCCTGCCCGCCTCAGCTTCCTCACCCGCAAGGCCACGGCAGAGGTGCCAACACCTGCTCTGTGCCGTGGCTGCAGAGATGTGGAGTTGGGAAGGTGTGGCGAGCACAGGCTGCAGGATGTGGGGTGCAGGTAGGGAAGCTGGGCCCCATAGGGATGGGCGCTGGCCGGTGTCCACAGGCTTTATGACAGCCATACCCTGCCATTCCAGGCCCAGCACTGCCAGGTCGCCCGGCCTTTAATGCTGCGTCCTGTTGCTGGGTTGGTGCTTTCCCCAGTACTGAGGCTTAAACCCAGCACCTTCACACTGAGCCGCTGCGCGTTTTGTTCCATCTCTGGTACACACACAAAACTAGATTGGGGGTTGCTGGTGTGCTTACCCGTAAGCGGTGGGAGTCCTGTGTACTTGCTAGACCGGATCTTGCTAAGACAAGTGAGTGGGGCGTGCTCTGTGATCTGCGTCTTGTCTATCCCAGCACTCTGGAAGGCTGAGGCAGGAAGATTACAAGTTTGAGCCCAGGCTGGGCAACTTAGTGACTCTAAATAAAAAATTTATTTAAAACATTTGCAAAGGGCTGGGAACCAAGTTTGCTGTGAAGGCCCCCGCTTCCATCCCCAGGACCCAACAGGCACAGGGGTGTTTTGAAAAACATAACTTTTGTGACATTTCTTTCATTTTTGGTGGCACCGCGGAGCCTAGGGCCCCACACGCCAAGTTCTGTGAGCGGGGAGGAAGCCTGGGTTTCTGGTAGCCTCTGTGTGTTAGACTTGTGTGGAGTGACTTTTGCAGACCCAAGGTCAGAAACACTTTCTCCTAGAAGTTTCTCTCCGTGGCTTCCATGCGCAGGACCATGATGCATGGGAACTCTTTAAATAGGCTGCCCTCAAGTTGGTCCTAACCCTCCTGCCTCAGCCTCCCAAGTGTTGGGATAACAGGTGCGCACCACCCTGCCCAGCGTGGGAACCCTGACGCCAAGCGGTGTAAATCCTCTGACCGTGTTCTCCTTTCCCAGCTGGCTTTGGCTTTTCTACATCTTCTGCATTTCTAAGGAAGTTTGCTTTTCAATTTCGAGGGAAAAAAATAAAAGCCTGCTGGTATTTTGGTTGGAGTTTCATTGGATCTATAGAAAAATTTGGTGGGGGGATTGACATTTCAACAACGCCAACTCTGCTGCTGGTGAGTGCAGACTCTCTCCCCTACATTTAGGTCCCAGGACCCTACCCAGAAATGCCCTCCATTTCCTTAGGTAGCTGCTTGCTTTTCTCAGTCATTTGATAACGTTGCCTCTTGTTTTATGGTTTTTGTCGTTTATGTTTTGTGTTACCGGGGATTGAACCCAGGGCCTTCACACTGAGCTGCATCCCCAGCCCATTCACTTTTTAAAAGTTTAGACCAGGTCTCTTTGTGCCACTAAGTTACCCAGGCTAGGCTGGAACACGGGACCCTCCTGCCTCAGCCTCATTACAAGTGTGAGCCACCCTGCCTACTTATTATTTTTACTATACAGGTCAACTTCTGATAGTTGACATGAGAATATATAAATAAAATTGATTTTTGGGTGTGGATCATGAGATGCCCTGCACACTTGATAACTCACAGCTGCTGGTAACGTTTGTGGCTTCAGCTCGATTTTTACCTCCTCAACGCCAATCAGAGTGCCCTTGTTTTTCTTGTCTGGCTGAAACGTCTAGAAAACGTGAGACTCCAGTGGAGACGAGGGACACCCTCGACCAGATGCTGAGCTCAGGGAGGGAGGAGCCAGTCTTGCACCTGTAAGCCCCGCGTTGTTTTCCCAGATGCCGTCCCCACTGTCTCAGCCTCCGCGGGGGTCCAGGTGGACCCTATTGATCCCAAGCCGGTGCCTTGGCCTGGCTGAGTTTTGAACGCCGAACCGCTCTGCATTTCTGGGTACATCCGGCCCGGCCCTGTCGCGCTGCCCTGTTGAGGTTCTGTCAGGTTTGATTTGCTGACGGTGTTCACAGCTTCTCGCCTTCTCTCTGCCTCCCCGGGGTCGCAGGCGCTGCTCCCTTCCGCTTTGGTGTGGAGATCGCAGGCCCCGGGGAGTCTGCAAACCCCACCCCCAACCTCTTCCTCTGTCAGTGGCCCAGGGCTCCAGCGATGGGTGGCCCAATGTGGTGTGGGGTGTGTCTGTCCTGTGAAGCTCCCCGCTTCCTCCTCTTCCTGTCACACTGGCTAAAGATGGGCCGGTTTCATCGATCTGGAAGAATCTGCTCTTAGTCCTCACTTATCTGCTGCTGTTGATGCTTCTCCTTTTCTAACTGGACCCTTAGTGCTGTTACCTTCTGGACATCGTTGTATTATTGTTTTCTAGTTTAATCCCATGGTGATCAGAAAACTTGTGTGACGGGAACATTTTAAACAAGCTGAGTCTCGCTGTGTGGTCTGGAACCCATTAGGTGGTGTTGGCGTCGAAGTCCCCTGCCCCGAGCTGCTCTGAGCAAAGGGCATGGGGGAGCAATAGTCTGGTGCTGCTGGGGAGTCCCTGGGGCTGGGGAGGAGCTGGGGGTGCAGACTCCCGGCGGAGGGGCTACAGGGACGAGAGAGGTGGCCCCCGGAAGCCCCCGGGAGCAGAGCTAGGCAGGGCCATGCCATCCCTGGTTCTGCAAGCGGCCGGCAGGCAGGGCTGGGTGGCCTGGCAGGACGCGGCCTGCTGCCCCCAGCAGTGTGTCTGTGCCGTCCCGGGTGGGGCGGCCTTAACCTAGCAGCACCGTCTCCTTCCAGACTGGAAGAAGCGCTTCATCGGCATCCGCATGCGGACCATCACGCCCAGGTGAGCCGCGGGCCGCCCGGGCCTCCTCTGTCCCTGCCCGCTGTGCCTGATGGGCCCCTGCTCTCGTGCCTGGACCTGCTTCACCTGGTGGATTCCTCCTGCTCCTCCTCCTGGACCCATTTCCTGGGGCCACATCACATCACCACACACTGGTGGCTTTAAACTCAGAGCATAGCCTGTCACAGCTGCGGGGGCCCAGGCCCGAGACCGGGGTGTCAGCAGGGCTGCCCTGCCTGCCTCTCCCGGCCTGGCGTCCCCCGGTGTCCTCTGCCCGCATCGCACTTGCTCTGGCCCCCACCTGTGTCTCCATGTGCCCGCTGCCTCTCTGCCTGTCTGTGTCCAGCTCTCCCTCTTGTTCCTTACAAAAACACCACTCGCTGGGTTCGGGGCCACCCCAGGTCCAGGACGATTTCATCCCAAGTCCCTTTAGCGCTGCACCTGCAGGAATCTTGTTTCCAAGCAGTCACACTCTGGGCTTTGGGTGTGCCTGACTTGAAGGGACACCAGTGGTCCACCCACCTGGGACTCCCAGCTGGGAGGAGCTGCCCCTCTGCGAGCCCTGGTCCCACTGTGTGGGAAGTGTCCGTCTGTAGGACACCCCCGCCCACCCTGCCCCGCCTCCTCGGCATTGAGCTCTAGGGGGAGCAGGGTTCCCAGCCCATCCCTTCCTGGTCCAGAGAAGACAAATACAGAGCAAGTGCTGGATGAGGGGGGACCCAAAGCCAAGCGCAAGGGGTCCACCCCTGCCTTCCCTCTGTCCGTGGATCCTCCACGCCTTCCTCTGTGCACCCACCCATCTACTGATCACCCACCCTGCCTCCTTCCTCCCATCCGGCCCACCCCCTAACCTCTCACGGCCACTGAGTTTCTCCTCAGGTGCCCATGCATGTCTAGTGGGGGGACAGGGCAGTGTGGGAGCTGAGGGCTGCTCCTCTGGCCTGGGCAGTGCTGGGAAGTGGGTGCTTGGTGCCCAGGAGCTGGTGTGGGGGCTCAGAGGAGGCCTCACGGCCACACTTGTTCCTCAGCTTAGTGGAAGAGCTGAAGGCCAGCAACCCGGACTTCCCGGCAGTCGGCAGTGGCATTTACGTGCAGGAGGTCTTTCCCAACTCGCCTTCACAAAGGTAGGCTCTGCTGGCCAGGCAGGCCCAAGGGCAGGCAAGTGGCCATCTGGGCGGGTGGCATGGGTGCCAGGGGCCTGCGCTGCACCTCCCCACTGAGCTCCATGGTCCTGAGCCTCCAGGCAAAGCCACATCGAAGGGACAGGTGGACCCCACCTCTGCCCTGCACCAAGGAACAGCAGGAGAGCTTATCCATTGCAACACTGGCTGTGCCCACCCCAGCCCTGAGGGGCCTCTCTGGGAGGCAAGGCTGAGGAGTCCCTGTCCAGGCAGAGTAGCACTCCAGCCTCACTGTCCCCAGCCAGGGAGCAGCCGGGTCCTCCCCTGGAAACTAGAAGCCTCTGCCTGCATCTCTACCCTGGGAATCTGCAAGGTCTGAAGACTGCTGGTCACGCAGCCCCGTTGTCTGCCCACTGTACACGTGTCCCAGCTGAGCCTGGACTCGGACTCACGAGGCCATGCAGTGACCCTGTGTCTCCGTTGGCAGAGGCGGCATCCAAGATGGCGACATCATCGTCAAGGTCAACGGGCGCCCCCTGGTGGACTCCAGTGAGCTGCAGGAGGCGGTCTTGACCGAGTCCCCACTGCTGCTGGAGGTGCGGAGGGGCAATGACGACCTCCTTTTCAGCATAGCGCCCGAAGTGGTCCTGTGAGGCCCTTCCCCGTCCAGTGCCGGGCACCAGAGCCAGAGCCGAAGACAGCAGGCAGAGGGCCACCGCCCCGGGATCAGGACGAAGGGCCCTGTGGTCCTCAGCAGGCCAGCAGCCCCCACCCCATGTCCAGGAGCGCAGCTGGAGGCAGCTCGGAACCTCGGCCTTGGTCCTGAAGCCCAGCCCAGTGACGGAAGCTGCCGACCCAAGCACAGGTGTTCCTGGCATCACCCCTGGGTTCTCCGGACCCGGAAAGGCTCCTGCCACTCCTACAGCCCACCTCGCGCCTCTCCTTCGGATCCTGGCTCCCCATGAGCATCATTGCCTTGAGGCCACCTGGTGTCTCCCTGCTGCAACAAGGGCAGGGAGCCGCCACAGCGTGTGACAGGGGCTGCCGCCCTCCAGCGGGTCCCCAGGCAGGTGCACAGCTGGCCCTGGAGGAGCTGGACCTGACGCCTGCTCAGGTGCCCAGTGAGCCTCCCACTGCCAAGCCATGCCCCACACTGGCCTTAGGACACAGCCTCCTGGGGGACAGGAAGTGACAGGTGCACAGCCTGGCGGCCTGGAGGCGCCATCCTCCAAGGTGACCAGGGTAGAGGGACAGGTGCTGGCATGACCGGTGCAAGGACTGAGCTGGCTCTACCTCCCCACACGGCCCGGGGTACAGCAGACAGCCACCCGAAGCCAGCGGGCTCCCTGGGGCCCTGGCGTGGGACTTCAGGTACACACGTGAGCTTCGAGGCCCTGACCTACCAGGCTGCACTGTATGTTCTCTACTGTACGGAATTAAAGTTTACAAGTGCATGGTGCTTGGCTTCTGGGCGGCCCGTGCCCCACTGGGTTATTCCCAGGGCCCCCATCTGGCATATTGTGGGGGACACTAGCTGAGACATGGCTGTGCCTCTGTGTTTCCATGACAGCGGCGCATCTGTGCACACGCCGGTCCCCAGGGCCACCCGGTGCTGCAGATTTGACTTCGAGTCAGGCACTAAAGTCTCAGCTCTTGGCTCACTTCTTGCTCTGGGGCCTTGGGCCAGTGGTGCCCCTCATCCTCCTGCAGCTGTCCCTGTACTGGTGCTGCAGCCCCTGGCTACTTTAAGACCTCAGGCCTGAGGGCTCACCCTCCACCCCTCACTGTAGCCCACCCCACAGTGGGGAAACTGAGGCAGGGAGATTAAAACAGGCTGTCCAAGGACACAGCCCAGGAGGCTGGAAGCGGGACATCAGGGCATTCTGCTTACCCCCTGCGTGACTGGGCATTCGGACCCACCCCACAATGAAGGCAGCTGAGTGCCGAGCCGAGGGTCAGGGAGGGTGCAGCTCTGAGGACCTGAGGTTCACAGGGCCAGGTTCAAATGCCACACTGGCTTCAGGTGGGCAGGGCAGTAGTAGCCAGGGCCTTCCCAGTGCCCCCGGGGCACTCAGGAGAACTCCCTGGGGACAGATGGCCCAGGCACTGGTGGCCCTGGGTGTGCTTGGCTGTGGGCACCTGGTTAGACGACAGTGGTGCCCAAGGCCAGAAAGGCATGGAAAAGTTGCCAGCAGTCTTCAGCTGCGGACACCCTGTTAACCAGGGCCGGGCACAAGCATGCTGGCAGGATGCTTCCCCGACCCTATGCCCCTGTCTTGGTCTCTCTGGGCCGCCCCATCCAGCGCCTGTCCTGACCTAGCCTCTGGCAGTGCCAACTTCCTATTCCAGAGCACCCACCTGCTGCCAGCTGTGTGCCCACCCACACCCCTCACCCCCAGGCCAGGATAAACTCCAACCTCCCCCAACTCCCATCCAGACCCATCCTGTGCCCAGTGCCCTGCCAATTCCAGTGCTGCTCTGCGCCCCGTCCTGTCACACGGTGACCCCCAGAGCCATCCCCAGCTGCTGTGTCTCTGACCCCGCCTCACAGGAGCCTTCACGACTGGGGTCAGGTCTGAGACAAGCAACGCTGGAAATGCAGTTAGAGAAGCGGGGCTGGCACAGGGCCATGGAGGGCCAGGCCTTGGCAGCTACCCGGGAGCGATTGCCAGGTAAGGGAGGTCGGGGCCAAGGTCTGGGGCTCCAGCAAAGCCCAACCTCACTCCCTGAGCAGAACCAGGCCTAGGTTTTCCAGTCCACATGGCCCCTGCATCAGCACCTGCTGAACGGTGGCCAGAAGCCTCGATGCCGTACCCTGGATGGGGCAGGACTGGCATGGTGTCTGGGTCCTCCCTCCTGACCTCCTCTGTCCTCCCAATGCAGCAAGGGCCTCAAACTGCCCACTCACCCAGCCTGGCTGTGTCATATGCACTCCTGGTCCTGTCTCACCCACCACTAGCACCAGCACTGAGACCCCCAAAACCTCCTGGGGCCTCCCCTGCACACCCCAGATTCAGCACAGAGCTCTGGGTTAGCATACCGAGTTCAAGCAACCTCAGCCACGCTGCTCTCCAGCCTCATTTTCCCTATCCGAACAGTGAAGCTGACACGGTCTCCTTGGCAGTTTGGGCTCGATGAAAGGTGACCAATGTGGGCACCAACGGCAAGGCACAGGGTGCCTGACCCCAGGCGGCCCCCAGGTGTCCCCTCTGCTCCTGCCTGCCCTGCCTCACAGTGCCCATGGCGAAGCCAACCTGACACCTGTGACACCCAGCTCACCCGGGGACTCCGGGGGACCGTGCCCACCAGCCAACCTCACCGTGTGGCACGTCTGCGCCCTGCTGTGCACCGGCACAGGCCTCCCCGCCCCCAGACCTCCCGGCTCTGGGCCAGGCGCCCAGCTGCTCCTCAGCTGCAGAGAAAAACAACCTCTCCACGGCCGCCAGCTGCAGCAGCGTTGTGCAACCCCAGCCCTGCCCCTGCACTCTGGTCCCCCAAGGCAGCACTCGGGTGTTCCTAAGGCCACCGGCCCAGCCCGGCTTTGGAACACATCTGGAGTCCTGCAAGACCCACATTCCAATGCCCCATGTGACGGGATGGAGGCCCAGAGAGGAAGAAGCATCCCAGCCTCACGGGAGCCTCTGGCCGCGGGACCAGGCCCAGGCAGCAGTGCTGGCAGAGGCCGCAGGGCAGACATCCGGCTCTGCACCCTGCAGGCCCAAGGGCCGCTCTCCTCCTGTCCTCCCTGCTCGCCAGACCCAAGACTGGGTTCAGTGGGGAGCAGGCAGCGGGGCTGTTCCTGGCTTTGAGCAGCACCCTGAACCCCACATCCCAGAAGCCAGAAGCAAGCATCTTCCCAGGGTGTGTGGCCCGTCCTCCCTGTCCTCCTTCCTCTGCTGTGCTCCAGGGACTGGAGGACGCGGGGTCCCAGGCTGCCCTGAAGTCCGGGTGTCTTTGGCCCATTCCTAGACTCCTCCTTGGCTCTGTCCCAGGGGAAGGACCCCAACCCCCCGTCCCACCCCAGCTCTGCCAAGCTGAGTAATCTTCCGAGCCTCAGTTTCCCCAGGTGTAACACGGTGCCTTTGAAATGTGCACCTGTCTGTTCCCCTCCCTGCGACACCCGAGGCTGGGAGACATGGGGGTTACCTAGCTCAGCGTGGGGGCTGAAGCCCAAGGCCAGGTGCCCACAGATCTCACCCTTGGGCAGACAACACCAAGGCGGAGCCTGGAGCGTGCTCGGGGCTGGAAGGACATGGCCTGCTGCTCTGAGGAACCCTCGGGAGCCGGGCTGGGGTACAAGCGGGGCTCTTGGTGTCCTCACCTGAGGGTGGGGCCCTGTGAGGACCAGGCTGGTACTAGGTGCCTGCAGATGGCTGGTGCTGCTGTGTGGGGACCAGAGAGGGGCCAAGGGCATGAGCAGCTGAGGACCTCAGGGCATGCAAGACAGGGCCTAGTCCCGGGACAAGCACAGAGAGGGACAGCTGGATGAGCCCTCTCCTGGAGGGTGCAATTTTCTTTTTCAGTACTAGGAACTGAACCCAGGACGTTCACACTGAGCCCCATCACTAGTGCTTATTTTGTGTTTTGAGACAGGATCTTGCTAAGCTTCCCAGGCTAAAACTTGGGACCTTCCTGCCTCAACTTTCCAGACCACCACATCCACCTATTTTACTTTTGAATCAGATTGTGTGTTTCACTGATTCTCAAAAATGCTCAGCTATTTTCCTTGTGATGTCACCTGTCACCAAAAGCCACGCATGTTACAGACCCTGACTCCCCCAGAAGGGCTCTGGACCAGACTTTTCCTGCCTCTGGGCAAAGTCCAGAACATGGCTTCTGTCCGACTCAGGAGCTAGCGGGATTTGCTTACTTTTAATAGGCTGTAAGGAAAAGGAGTGGGGAGGGGGCGGGGAGAGACGGCCCAGGAGGGGAGAGGAACAGTGCATCGCAGAGCCTGGCCATGCCCTGCCCTCCTCGGGAGCAAACCCTCCCGCACCAGTTGTCTCCCCAGTGAGGCCAGTCTGCTCTCAGGTGGGTGTCCGCATATCCCCGCTCGGCCAGGAGCCATTTCACCTGTGGGCAGGCAGGGCGTGCTTCCTGGAGGAGGCAGCCGTGCTGGCCTTTGAGGCTGCGTGGAAGGAAGCCTCAGGAGACAGAGAAGCTGCAGGGTGGGGAACCAAACCCCTGGTTTTGGGGGGCTTGCATCAGCGTTCCATCGCTGTGACACCACCCTGAGACAAACTTTAAAAGAGAAAAGGGTTTTTTTTGGCTCACGGTTTCAGGGGCTTCAGTCCACAGCCACCGAACTCTATATTGCCTGGGGCCTGGGGCAGAGCCACGCGTCAGGCTGGGAGGGTGCAGAGAAGCCCTGCACACCACCCAGAGGGAGAGAGAGGGAGAAAAGCCGAAGGACCAGGTCCCCAAATCCCACAGAGGGCACGCCCACCGTGACCTCACTTCCTCCCATCAGGCCCCACCTCTTAAAGGCCAAGCCCTTCCCACAACACACTGGCTGGTGACCAGGCCATCAGCACGTTGGCTTCTGGGGACATTTAAGATCCAAACAGGCTTAAAATTCAAACCCCTAAACCTCTTATTTACAAACTAGCAGGGCAAATTATTTGCTCTCTTTTCTCTTTTTTGTGACAACTGAACCCAGGATCTTCATGCTAAATTGTAACCCCACCCTACCCTTCTTTGAAGGTTTTCGAGACATGGTCTTGCTAAGTTGGCTAGGCTGGCCTCTAACTTGAAATCTTCCTGCTTCAGCCTCCTGAGTAGCTGGGATTACAGGCAGGCACCATCATCCCTAGCTACTTGTACGCTCTGGCCCTTGGTGTTCTCATCTGCAAAATGGGATGATGGTGTGTCCATCTCACGAGCAGTTAAACAGAGAGAATAAAGATAAAGTATTTTGCACACTACCAGCATGAGGTGAGCACATCATAAATAACTAGGAGTGGTTTTGGCTTTTTATTAAGATGGCCCAGAGGCCCTCCCAGTTCCTATAGCAACAGCTGTCTAGTTTGGTAATAAAGCATCTGCACATGGTGTCAAGCACTTAAGCTGGCTGGGATGATCTCTCTCTCTCTCTCTCTGGTCCACCCATGGCCCACCCTGGGAGGTAGCAGCCTTCATATGAGAGAAACAGTGCCCGCCTGTGCATGTGTTTTTCTACTGTATTTGGTAGGAAGCATCGGCGCACTAGGTCCTCCATGGCGGCCACACCTGGCAGCCAGCCATGGGCAGTCTCAGCTCTGCCAGCCCCCATGTTGTCCACAGAGGGGGCTTGCTCATGGATGGGGTCCAAGTTGGCTGCTATCTTGACAATGTATTTGCTTCTAATGCTGAAATGGGTTTAAATATAGCCCAGCAAGAGGTGACTGCAGAGGCCGGGGGTCCTGCCTGGCCAGCAGAGGTCTGGAAGCTCCGAGGGGCTGGCTGGGAGCTGGGGGCCGTGCTGTACAACCTGTTGCAGGCCTCTGTGTATCCACCACCTGCTGTGGCTCCCCATTCCCAGGGACAAGTGCCACCTCCCCTGGGAAGCCTTCCTGACCTGGCATTGCCAGTGTGCCTGTCTCCCCACAGCCATGAGGCAAAGGGGAGCTTTGAATTTGAAGCTGCCTGAGCTCCCACCTTGTCACCAGTTCTGTGACCTCAGGAGCTCTGCTCACACTCTGGCTATCTCTGGGCACAGGAAGCAGGAGTGGAAGTGAGGCTTAGGGTGTCCAAGCACCCTCTTCTTTTCCTGTATCCATGTGAGCACCTCTTTCGCCTGGTGCCACCTGGACATGAGATTCATGCTGGGAGCAGCAATGGTGCCTACCTCAGGACTGAGCGGGTCATTCAGGCAAAGTAAAGCGAAAACTCTTACCTGGCACTTAGCAGGTGCCTGCAAAACAATAGCAGTCATCACCCT